AAGGATGCTTATTTCCATTTTACAGATAAAGAAGTAGAGGTTTACTAAGTCCGTCCAGGGGGGGCTAGGACCTAAACCTTTTGCCCCTATTGTGCTCAGCCGGAAGGACCTACAGGAAGATCCTTTCTGCAAATGTGTGTTGAGCACCAGTGCCAGCACGGCCTTGCAGTTGGGACTGGCTCTGGGCCGTATCTGAGTTGGGTTCAAGTATCTGGGTGCTCTTGGGCAAATTGTTTAAGCTCTCGCCTAGTTTCCTCATCTCTAAAATGGGCCAAGAGCGAGAGCTACCTCAGGGACATTCATCAAGATGACACGAGGCGACTCCTCGGACGCGCCGAGTGTGGCACCCAGACCGAGCCCAGGACTCCGAAATGGTTGCTCTGGTCGTTACTAGCAGCAGAGGGCTGAGCCCTGCCCCCGGTCCTTCAGGAGCTCGGAGCCCCCGAGAGCCCCAGCTCACGAACTTTGGGGCGAGTTTCACTGAACCGCTGAGCCTCGAGTCCTCCCTCTGTGTGGTGGGTCTAGTAAGCCCCGCCTCGCAGGATGCCTTAGAGAAGGACATGGCGCAGAGCAGACGCTCTAAGCGTCGGCCGTCCTTTCGGTTGATGGGCGTGAAGGGGGAGAGGCCAGGCGAGGTGTGTGCTGACTGGGTGGGGACCAGGTGGAAGGGGGCTAGGGTCCGGGGCGAGGGGTGAGTTGGAAGGCTTCCTAGGAGAGAGGTGTGAGCTGGGGCCCAGAGTGGTCGCCCAGAGTGGCCCCCAGATTTGGGGGTGGGGGTGGCTCTCAGTGGGGCCTGCTTTAGGGTATCGGGCAGGGAGCACGGCCTCTGGGCTGGGAGTGAGTCGGCTCCTCAGGCAGGGTTGGGGGGCCACGCAGGATGGCTGGGAGGGTCCGGGCCCGCCCCAGTCTCTCTCCGAGCCCTCTGCACCCTCCTCTTCCTCTCGCAGGTTCATCTACGAATTCGAGCATTTCAACGGTGTGGCGGAGCTGCTGGAGATCTTAGGAAGGTGACTGTCCCCGGGCCTCGGCCAGAGCATCGGCGTCCTGGGCGGGAGGGTTGGGGCCCGGTGGTCTGAGCCCTCCTCCTCTCTCCTGCCCCGTCTTCAGCATCATCAACGGCTTTGCACTGCCCCTGAAGACCGAGCACAAGCAGTTTCTGGTCCGGGTCCTGATTCCCCTGCACTCCGTGAAGTCGCTCTCCGTCTTTCACGCGCAGGTGAGGCCCAGGCCTGGCGCTGCCCGGCAGCCGCCTGGGTCAACCTGACACCCTGGCTTCAGCCACACGACGTCACCAGTTCGGGGGATCCCCTCTCACCTTCTTCGTCTTCGCTAATTCTGTTCTGTTGACCTCAGAGCATTGCCATGACCCCCAAAGGCTGCCAGGCACCAGCTCTGTGAAGCCTGCCCAGCCCCTCCCTCCCTGCCCTGTGCCCCGGGGTGGGACCGAATTCCCCGGCTTCTATGTTCCCGTAGACTGAGACACAGATTTCCATCACGGAACCTTCCGTAACATTTCTAAGGACTGGTTTGCCCAAACGTTAGCCCTGTAGGATCCCCACTATGTCCCCCCCACACACCGAGCGGGGCGCCTGGGGCGTCCCAGGCTGTCGGGAAGTGCTTGGCGAATGAGCGTGGTCACGGGAAGCAAGTGAACGTCTGGCGCCCTGTCCCTGACCCCCGTCTTCTCCCCCCTCTGCCCCCACCGCCCCCCCAGCTGGCATACTGTGTGGTGCAGTTCCTGGAGAAGGATGCCACCTTGACAGAGCATGTGAGTACCTCAGCGGGGAGGGGTGGGGAGGCGAGCGTCTGCCCCTGCAGGTCTGACCCCTCTCTGCCTCCGCCCCCACAGGTGATCCGGGGGCTGCTCAAGTACTGGCCCAAAACCTGCACCCAGAAGGAGGTATGCGGAGGACGGGGCTGGCCCAGCACCGGGGTGGGGGGTGCTGGGAGGGCTGAGCTCCCAGAGGGCGGTCGGGCGTGCAGCAAGGAGATGGAGCTGCTGACCCGTGTCCCCGCCCCCCCCACCCCCGCCTGCAGGTGATGTTCCTGGGGGAGATGGAGGAGATTCTTGACGTCATCGAGCCCTCCCAGTTCGTGAAGATCCAGGAGCCCCTCTTCAAGCAGGTGGCTCGCTGTGTGTCCAGCCCCCATTTCCAGGTATGGGGTGGGGACCGGTGAGGGTGGGAGCCGGGGCACGGACGAGGAAGGTTGGCCAGTTGACCTAACACAGCTCCCTCTGTCCTCGGGGTGCTCCTTGAGCCTGGTGATGGGCAGACACTGGACTTAGAGTGAGGAGGCCCTGGGTGGAGCCTCCCCCTGGCCGAGGGGCCTCGGGCCACTCGCTGCGCCACTCTGGGCGTGATGAGGCTTCCCCGCCTGTAACGTGGGCCAGTGGCAACCCCCCCAGAGGGCGGTGATGAGGCCTCAGAGAGTGCAGTGAAGATGTAGGTGGTGAACTGCAGTGTCATGACACGCTCCGTGTGGGCTGTCACCGCTTCTCTGCTCTCGTCGGTGGCCTTCAGTCTCATTAGTCCCACTTCAGGGCCCAGCCAGGTCCCCACGTCACGAGGCTGGCTGGAACTAGTGTTCCTCCACACGTGGGTGCAGACGCGCTCCCATTCTCGTGAGCCACACCCTCTGGTGGAAGTCCGTTCTCCCTCACAGTGACTCTGCTACTTCAGTTTAATGCACCTTATTCGATTCTTACAATAGCCCAGGGGCCAGGGGTGGGGTGTAGATATCATTAGCCCCATTTTGCAGATGAGAAAACCGAGGCCGAGTGGTCGACAGCTTTGCCCAAGGTCACGTGGCCAATGTGTAGTGGAGCTAGGATTCGACCCTGAGCACTGGACGTCAAATCCAGTGTTCCCGCTTCCCTGTCACGTCGCTCCCTCCAGTGGGGCAGACGAGCCCGAGGAGGGGTTGTGTGGAGGGCAGGGCGCCCTGGGCTCGGGGTGGAGGTGGAGCCGGAGCCCTTGCACATGCAGGGGAGCCCCTGCCGAGCGCCCACTCTGCCATCTCGCTGCCCCAGGTTGCAGAGCGGGCTCTGTACTTCTGGAACAACGAGTATATCCTGAGCCTCATTGAGGACAACTGCCACACTGTGCTGCCTGCTGTGTTCGGGACCCTCTACCAAGTCTCCAAGGAGCACTGGAATCAGTGAGTGCCCAGGCCTTGCCCTGGCCCAGGGAAGCTGAGTCCAGGGCTCGCCAGTCCAGACCCGGGGTCACTCCTAGCTAGAGGGAACGAGGGAAGGTGCAGGAGGGGCAGGCAGAGGGCAGTGCTGGTGTGTGCGGCTGCTGCACTGCGTTCGGGGCACCACGGGGATGGGCAGAGCCCTGGAGAGGGAGGTGGGGCCAAACCGAAGTTGCTGTCACCGCCTCACCCCTCTCCCTTGACCTGCCAAGAACCATCGTATCTCTGATCTACAATGTGCTCAAGACCTTCATGGAGATGAACGGGAAGCTGTTTGACGAGCTCACGGCCTCCTACAAGCTGGAGAAGCAGCAGTGAGTGCTGGGGGCCTGGCCGTGGAGGGAGGGCAGACGGGGAGGAAGGAACGGCCTTCTCACGGTTGGAGGGAGCCCGGGAGCATGACCCCCGCACTGATCTGATCAGATCCTTCAAGTCCCTCCCTACGTCCCCGGCAAGTGTGGCCCACTCGCGCCCTCCTCCCCACTGCGTTGGCCAGGCACCCTCCCAGGTGCCTCTTCCAGGTGCGGAGCTTTGGCCCCCTGGGGTCTCCTGCCGCTCAGGGCCAGGCTCGCCCGTCCGCTCCATGACCAGCCAGCCTGTCCTCAGTGGTGTCTTCGGGGGGTGGAAGGTCCCCGCAGAGTCCCCTTTGCAGAGGAGGCGGTGGCAAGGGAGGCTGGGCCGCAGTCAGAGCCGCAGGGCCGGGAGCTGCCTCACCCTCTCTTCCCAGGGAGCAGCAGAAGGCCCGGGAGCGGCAGGAGCTGTGGCAAGGCCTGGAGGAGCTACGGCTGCGCCGGTTACAGGGGACCCAGGGGGCCAAAGAGGCTCCCCTCCAGCGCCTTACACCCCAGGTGGCCGCCGGTGGGGGTCAGAGCTAGAGATCCTGAGGAAGGGGAGGCACTCAACCCGGAGCTCTCAGTCCCTCCGTCCCCTCTCCTGCCCGGGGGCCCAGACAGACACACACCTCCCCCTGGCCCCGCCAGACTGGGCTCGGAGGGCTCCCTGCCTGGCCCGGAGCGGGCAGCTTCCACTGTGGGGGAGGCGGAGAGGAGCTGGTGGTCCTGGCGGCAGGACTCTCAGGCCCTTGCGGCAGGACTTGACCAGGGCACGCTTGACCGGAAGCGGCCGTCAGGGACCTCCCTGCCCCGAGGAGCTGGGCCCTAGACTGCAGGCAGGTCCCCAGCCCCTGCTCCCGCCGAGGGCGGCGGGACTCAGCTCCTCCTACCTGCCGCCTCATGCCAGCACGAGGCCCCTCCGCACCCCACCACGGGCTCCACGGTCTATTTATTCTCCCCTGCTCGCCCCCAACACGGACGCCGTCCGGGGCCTGGGGCGCCCTCCTCCCCTCCCCTCCCCTCCCTCGCCCTGAACTTTCTTGTCCCCTTTTTATTTATTGGGCAGGGGGAGGGGTGAGGGCACAGGCAGAAGAGATTCCCCATGTCCTGAGGCAAGGTGGGGGTCACTGTTACTGTGGTCTGTCCCCTTCCCCTGGCTGGGGGTAGACTTAATAAAGACAGAAACTCAAGGACTGCTTGTTTATTAAGGGGTGGGGGCCAGGAGGAAAGTGAAATGACCAAAGGCTGCTTGGGAGGCCAGGCAGAGGCAGGGAAGAGGCAGAAGCGTCCTTTTTTTTTTAAAGACTTTATTTATTTTTAGAGAGGGAAGGGAGGGAGAAAGAGAAACGTCAGTGTGCGGTTGCTGGGGGCCGTGGCCTGCAACCCAGGCATGTGCCTTGACTGGGAATCGAACCTGTGATGCTTCGGTTCGCAGCCCATGCTCAATCCACTGAGCTACGCCAGCCAGGGTGAAGTGCCCCTCTTTTCAGGAGGTGACAGCCACAGAACCTTACAAGGGTGGAAGCTGCTGTCCCCAACAAGGCTGAGGACAGATGGGAAGTCCTCCACCGACTCGGTCCCTCTGACCAAGCGGGGAGGGGAGGGGCAGGGGTGGGCTAGAAGCGTGAGAGGCGACACATGTCACACTGGCAGGCCCTGGCCGTGAAGATCTCCAGCTCCTCCCTCCGGGCCCCCCCACACTGCAGCTGCACCTTCACCTGCGGGGGAGAGGGATCCACGTTCCAGTCCCCTTCCTCAGGCCGCTTTGGACTCCCGTCCCCTCTGCCGCCCCCGCCCTCAGGGAGCCACCGTGGGGCCGGGCACCCTCACCTTCCTCAGGCTGCTGATGGTGCAGCACCGAGAGACGGAGGTGACGTTGTGTCGATAGCCGCTGGCCACCAGCACGGAGTACCGGGAAGGGAAGGCGCTGGACTCGCAGTGGCCCACACAAGCCTGTGCCACGTGGGAGCCCTGGCAGGTGCCTTGGCGGTCACTTCGCACTGTCACATTGAAGGCTAGACGGAGACAGAAGAGTGGTAGACAGCGCCTCTGCGAAGACTCGCCCGGCCCCTGCGGCCCGCGCCCTCAGTGCGGGGCGTCACGGGGGCTGCCCGCCCCTCCACCCGGCCCATCAGCTCTTTGCTCCCACCCAGCTCTCCGCGCCCAGGGTTACTCACGGTGCAAGTGGCAGCCCGGGACGGCCGCCCGCTGACCCCAGCCTTCAGCGATCACCAGGAACAGCAGGCAGGAGAGCAGGGTTCGGGGGGACGCCATGGGCACCTGAAACACAGCGGGCAGACGGGTGTCTGCAGGTGGGTGTGCAGGGGTGCCGGGGAGCTCTTTAAAGGCCGCCTGCTTCCAGGTGAACGGGCGGGGCTAGGCTGGCCTGCCGGGCTGGGGTGAGGCGAGCCTGTGAGCGGGGCTGTCTTTTCCCCGCACCCGCCTTTGGGCGGGGGGTGTCTGCCTGTGTCTCTCTAGGTGGATGTGTGAGCCACTGTCTCTGGATGTGACTTGTGTGTCAGCCCCCTGGGGTGATGTCCCCTTGCATTTCTGCCACCACACGGGGCGCAAACATCCGCCTCCCTCCACCTGCCCCATCTGGGCCTGCAGGACCCCAGGCCTTCGCAGGGCTGCTTCTGCCCCGCGGGCTTACCACTTCCAAGGCCGGGGAACCGAATGGGTTGCTGGGCAGCTCCTGTGCCTGCTGCTCGTCTCTGGCTGGTGCTGGTTCTCCAGATTTTTATTTGCCGGCATTGGGAAGCCACGCCCTCTCGGAGATCGGCTTTCAGGCTGCCGCCTGGCCAGAGGCCTTGAGGAGCAATCCCACCTGGGAGACCCTGCCCCTGGCTGAGGTGTGGTCCTAGGAGGAGGGTGGCTCCTGCTGTGTTCTGCTTCCCCTCGGTCCAAAAGCTGCCCGAGGCCCAGGGCGGGGGAAGTGAGGCGTGGAGACGAGCCTGGGAGCTGCTGGGGGGGGGTGGTGGCTTATACGCAGGTGGAGGAAGAGAGCCCAGGACTGGGCCGAGTTGGGGCCACCTGGGTTCTGCTGCTGGGCGGCCTTGGGCAGGACAGTCTCATATTGGGGGCCTCGGCCCCCAACCGTGAAACTACTCAACTCAGCCCCGCCTGCCTCCTCACCCCACAGCAGAGGAGGGGGTGTGGGGGAGGTGCGTACGCACGAGCGGGACGGCACCAGAAGCCGTCGCCCGAGATGTGCTTGGTGGCAGAGCTGGAGGGACGGGGGGCTTCTAAGTCCACGTCAGGGCTTCACGTGCACTGTCAAATGGAAGGCTTCTCATCTGGGGGTCAGCTACAAAGTGGGTGCCCCCCACCCCCACCGCAGTCCCTGGAACAACTGGGGCCCGACTCCTGGAAGGGCCTGAAGCTGTTGATCCCAGCAAATCCCACGGTTTAGTCCGGCTCCGGCTCCGGTTACAGGTGGAATGTTACTAAAGGTCACACAGCCAGTTACTGTCAGGGCCGGGTGGGGACCCAGTTCTCCTGCTGGCCGTGCGTGGTGCTAAATGAGACTCGGGACAAGAATGGGGCAAGCTGGACGAAGATCCCCTGGTGAACGGTAGCTGCAGGGCTGAGGCCGGGTGGAAACCAGAGGGAAGGGGTGGTGATCCAGCCCCACACCCAGGGCTGCCGGCTCACCCAGCTGCTCGGAAGGGCAGAGCCAGCCGCACAGGCTGCTGGCGCCGGAAGCCACTGGAGAGCCCAACAGACCCTACTCCTCCGTTTTCCAAATGAGAAAATAAGAACCAGAGAGAGAGCGACTTAGCCGCGGCTTCACTGTAAGCTACTGCGAGTCAGGATGCTCTCGGGCCTCCTGGCTCTGGAGCTGCGCCTTCGGCTCTCCGTGAAGCGGGTCGTGCCAGGGACAGGAGGGCGAAGGCGGTCAACACGACTTGTCCCTCGTCCCCCAGTCCTGGTCGACGGCAGCTCCGCCCCCAGCCCTCCTCTCCCCAGGGCCCAGGCCCTTTCGCAGCAGCCCCCTCTTCTCTTCTCCCCACCCGCGGGGAAGGCAGCAAAACAAGGGGTCGCCCAGGGACCCAAGCAGTCCACCCCGACATCACGGGAACCTCCCGGCACATCACAGATGAGCTGTCAGGAGACCAGAGCTGACGAGGGTGCATTACTCCACGAGGTGGTCCATTCTAATATCGAACATCTCTACCAGTTAAAAAAGTGATTCCTTTGTCCTCAGCTACAATGAGTTCCCCTAAATTCCCAACAATTACTTTCATCCTCTGTGGCCACACGACACAAACCCAACCTGTCTATCCCGGATCAGCCCTGTGTTACAAGATGACAGAGCTCGGGGCCGTGGTCTTCTCCAGGGGCCCCGCCCTGGGCTGACTTCGGTGATGGGTAAACTCACCTGCATCACTGCCAAAAGCCAGAGGGACAGGCAGCTGGGAAGCATTCACCCACTGAGAGGCCGCACCCCAAGCTGGGTGCACTGGGGAGGATGACTTGTGAGGGTCGGCAGGACCCAGATCAGCGAGTCTTGCAGGACCCCGCTCCCTGACCCCAGCAGGGGACTTGCAAGTCCGCTGTGCGGTCCAGACCCACCCCCCGCCCCCCCCCCAGCACCCTGCCAACCACAGGTACGCCCAGGGCGGGGTCCAGGCACTGCTTCCCTGTATCTTGCGGGAAGAGTTTGCTCTCTCTCACACTCTACTTTACTGAACTCAGTCAATAACTGTTCATAAATAATTTATTGTCTTAGGATCCTAAGTGCTAGAGATAAAAGACCAAATTGAACCTCAGAACAGTATAATTCTCAAACTAGAACATTTTAGAAAGTTCCATTCTTTTTCTAGTATTTTAAATTGAAAAAACAAACTTTCACTGGAGAGGGGGAAAGGACAGGGCAAACCAACGGGAGGACCGGGGAGCCGGGGCAGGCAGAGGGCAGCCACCGGGAGCGCGCACTCCTGCCGCCGCCGCCGCCGCCGCTGCGTCCGTGGAAGGCTCACTGGCTGCTCCTCCGGAAGAAGTACCGGAACGGGAAGAGGGAGCTGCGGGAAAGCAAGGGGGACAGGCTGAGGCTCTAGAGGGCCCATTCCCTCCCCCCAGGCCGCACTAGGGCTCCATTAGCTGGGGCGTTTTTGCTTGGGGGAACCACTGAGCGGAAACTCGAGTCTGGAGCGGCATCTGAAAATGTACCCAAATTAGATTACACTCAGGCGGGGAAACACAGAATTGCATCGGGATGGCTGGGCTCTAGATAGATGAAGGGATCTGCTAACTGTCCTCTGCAAAAATAACTCTGGAGACACAGCCTAGATTCAGAAGGGAGCGTAAAAGCATTCTGGTCACCAAATCACCTAAAGGAGCCAAACACAGCGCGAACAGTCTCTGTCCAGGCAGTATTTGTGGAACCAGGCCCAAGGCTGGCCACGTTGGGTGGGCTGGGCTGTGTGAAAATGGACAACATGCAGTTTTTATTAAATTCACAGTCAGGGCCGTGGCTGGTGTGGCTCAGTGGACTGGGTGCCGGCCTGTGGACCAAAAGGTTGATGGTTCGATTCCCAGTCAGGGCACACCCCTGGGTTTTGGGCGAGGTCCCCAGTTGGGGTATGTGCAAGAAGCAACTGATAGATATATCTCTTGCACATGGATGTTTCTTTCTTCCTCCCTCCCTCCCTCCCTCTCTAAAAATAAATATTTTAAAATTTAAAAAAAATCAATTCCCAGTTAAGAGTCCTCGTGCTCAGTCCCATCTGCATCATCTCTCCCGAACACAGCAGAGACCGTGCAGGGAATCTGCTTCCTTTCTCCTCTCGCTTTCCGAGGTTCTCGGTGAGGCCAGCTCAGGGGGTCTTCCATTCTGGGTGGGTGGCCATCTGATGGCAGCAGAGAGGTGTGTCTTACCTTAGAAACCCCAGGAAGCCACTGGTTCCCAGGTCCTCGGGCCCGTCAGGTGGAGACGGACTGCTCTGCTGCCCTGGCAGGATGACGTCCCCTGCCTGGCTGTCCTCCCACCGGGGATCTGCGAGGAAAACACGCGGGCAGGAGAGGTCTCGGTCCCTAGGCTGCTTTCACGGGAGCGGAAGGCAGGACACTCACAGCGTGAGCCAAGGGCGGCCTCACACCAGGACTTCTTGAAGCCACGTGGCCTGCTTGTTCTGACTTTCCCAACTCCGTCTCCCTCAGTAAGACGCTACTCTGGCCTTGGGGTATTTTCAAAGTCAGACCCCTGAGATTTTTACACCATTCGACTCCCAGCCACCCACCACGGCGGTGTCTTCGCGTGGGTGACGACTGGTCCAAGAACTCCCCTGCTCACTGCACCCCCGCCTCTGCGGTAACTGCGGCCCACACAGGACCCCCACGCTGGGTAAACGGTGTGCGAGCTGGAAGGGCGGCGCCTAGACGTGCATCCCCACCCTCGCCCAGCACCTGCTGCACTGTCCACGCTAACACTGATGCCTGAAGGGGAGAGGAGGAGAGACAGCTCCCCCGACACCGTTCTCCACTGAGACGGAAAAGCGAAATGCATCCCCCCACGCGGAAACGCTCTGAAACACTGGGAGCATCGGTTTCACTGTCAAAAGCACAGGAAGGACACGCATCGCCTCCGTTCGCTCTGCTTGGGAGCTGGACAAGGGGTGGCTTCCATGGCCCCGGCCGAGGGCAGGCCCCAGGCTGGAGGGTGGCCCGCGGCACCTCCACGGGAACAGGGCACATCACCCGCCGAGCACACGGGCGCTCAAGAGCTCTGTGCTGCTCTGCTCCCCAGAAAACCCCGGGGCCCGGGACGACGATTAAAGGGCAGTGAATGAATTTCCCAGCACTTACCCTGTTCCTGGACGTCAGTGACACCAAGTGCTGAGGCCTCCTGACACTCCTGTGGGGTTCTTCTTTCCCGGGTCTGATGAGAAGAGGACCAAGGAGAGTTTTAAACTCTACTCCAGTACAGCCCGAGGGTCTGAATGCAATCTGCAGGTGGATGGACCGCTCGCAGCGCTGGGGCCTGGCTGCTGACTGCCCAGGCAGGTTCCAGATCCCTGTCTTAGCGACCGTCCTTTTCCCATGCCAGCCTCCGAACCCCTGTCCTTCTAAAATCACAGGATTGAAGAGCCAGAACAAACCGAGCTGGGTTTAGTTTATCATTCCGTATCACTGAGTGCCAACTATCGGTAAGGACAGACCACTGAGGTTTCGGGAGTCAGGAGAACCCCAACTTTCCCGTGGAGACATGTCTGGCCTGCGTGGTGAAGCTGCCACACGGACCGAGAGCTGTGGGACAGGGCTGGGAGGCGGCCCCGAGAGCCCACAGGGAGTGCTGCGGCTGGGGGGAGGAGCGGGGCCTGAACGGAGCGGGCGGCAGAGAGTCAAGGAAGACTTCGCAGGGGACGTGCTGTCTGGCCAGAGCTGCGATGTACGAGTGGGACTCTGTCCTGACGGGGCTCATGGGGGGTGAGGAGGTGGTGAGAGGAAGGGCATCCCAGGCAGGGACCGGGAGTGCAAAGGCACAGTGCACTTCCTAACAAGTATGATCAGCGCGGCTGGAGCTGGGGCAGGAGAAACACGAGCACAGCGTAAGCAACGAGCATGCTACAACGTAATCTCGAGATTTCTCCTTGTGCTATCCCTTTACAAGGCTTCCTTGGACATCCTACAACCCGGTCCCAAGCCCACATTTCCGGTAGACGCCCTGAGAGTCAGACACACGGTTCATACATTTTCTTCGGGAATCTCTGCCAACTGACCACTCCCCTCACCTGGGCAGGGCCTGAGGCCCCCGACTCCCCAGCGGTGCTGGGGAGTCCCTCGAGCAGTTTTGCTGGTGAGGAACTCTACACAAGGGGCTGCGGGCTGGCGCGGTAGGTCTGGGAGGAAGGAGCTTGGCGAACTCTGGGGAAGTTAAGATACAGTCTCCACCCTCACATAAGCTGGTATTTCCAACGTGAGCTTTTCCACAAACCAGCACATTTTGGACCACATCCACAGCCACTTAAGCCGTATTCCGATAAAAGTGGAAGGAGCCCTAGCCAAGTGGCTCAGCTGGCTAGAGTGCTGTCCTGTATACCAAAAGGCTGCGGGTTTGACTCCCAGTCAGGGCACATACCTGGGTTGTGCGTTCGGTCCCCAGCTGGGGCACGCACACGGGAGGAACCAACCAACCCATGTTTCTCACACCAGTGTTTCTCCTTCTCCCTCCCCACCCCTCCTCTCTAAAGTTAATAAACATGTCCTCGGATGAGGGTTTTTGGAAAAGTGAAAGGAAACTTTAGGAAGGAAGGAGACCGTCTCTTGCCCTCTTCCAGTCAGCGCAGACATGGAATTCCAGGGCCCAGCTCTGACTTCTAGCTTGAGGGAATGATTCTTACAAATCTAACGAAACTATGGTTTGGGGCTAAATCCTGCTGCACTGGCCTGCATGAAAGCATCTAATAAGGTTGGCAGTGGGAACCAGAAGGGCAAAAGAAAGGCCTAGGGCAGAGGTCAAGCCTATTTCTGAAACACGAAGAGTCCCCTCACAAGGTAACTTAGCTCTTCTGTCCTGAAATCTTGAGAGAGTTCTTCTTAGGAAAATGTTGAGAAGAAAAAAGCATTATAGCCTGAAATAAGACCAGTGGTGTCCCGTCTTGGAGATCCCCAGAGACTCCGCCCCGCCCCATTTATGAGCCCACCCAAGACACTTTTGCATATGAAAGGCTGGTCTTGGCTCCTGCTGCACAGCTTCCTAAATCCTCTGCAACAAGCAGGGTCTCAGTGAGCCCCGGCCCAGCACTAGCAGCAGCCAGCCTAGATTCACTGCTCAGCTCCTACTGGGAATCTCCAAGCCCAGAACAAGTAGCAGCCATCTCAGATTGCTCTATAGCTCAGGCAGGGTGCCCCCAGGCAAAACAACAGGTGGGGGCTGACCTCGGCCTGTACAACCCGGGAAACCCAGGGCCAGTGCACCCAGTGGACAGCTACAGACCACTCAAAGCACCACCACCCCGCCCCTGCACAGCTGATCCTCCACGGAGGGTGAAGGGTGGTGATAAATGGTCACAGCCAGTCCTTGCAGCTGACTGGCCTGGGTAAATCCCTCCCACTGACCTGCCAACAGCAACCAAGGCTTAACTACAAAAGGAGGGTGTACTCAGCCCACAGGAAGGAAGTAACCTCCGGTACTGAGCTTGGGTGGTAGGAGAGGCTGTGCACTGGACCCTACAGGACACCTACTGCATTAGGCCACACTACCAAGACACGGAGTCAAAGCAGCTCTACCTAATACACAGAAACAAACACAGGGAGGCTGCCAAAATGAGAAGACAAAAAAACGTGGCCCAAATGAAAGAACAGATCAAAACTCCAGAAAAAGAGCTAAATGAAATGGACATAGCAATTTATCAGATGCAGAGTTCGAAACACTGGTTATAAGGATGCTCAAGGAACTTAGTGAGGACCTCAGCAGCATAAAAAAGATGCCGTCAGAAACGAAGGATACACTAATTGAAATAAAGAACAATTTACAGAGAAACAACAGTAGAGTGGATGAAGCCAAGAATCAAATCAGTAATTTAGAACATAAGGAAGCAAAAAAAACCAATCAGAACAACAAGATGAAAAAACAATCCCCAAAAATGAGGAGAGTATATAAGCAGCCTCTGGGATAACTTCAAGAGGTCCAATATTCTCATCACAGGGGTGCCAGAAGGAGAAGAGAAAGAGCAAGAAGTTGGAAATCTATTGGAAAAAAAAAAATGAAAGAAAACTTCCCTAATTTGGTGAAGGAAATAGACATGCAAGTCCAGGAAGCACAGGGAGCCCCAAACAAGATGGATGCAAAGAGGCCCACTCCAAGACACATCATAATTAAAACGCCAAAGGTTAAAGATAAATCTTAACCTTAAAAGATTCTTAAAAACAGCAAGAGAAAAGAAGTGAGTTACCTACAAAGGAGTTCCCATAAGACTATCTCAAAAGAAACTGCAGGCTAGATGAGACTGGCAGGGCACATTCAAAGTGATGAAAAGCAGAGACCTACAGACAAGATTGCTCCACCCAGCAAAGCTATCATTTAGAATGGAAGGGCAGATCAAGAGCTTCCCAGACAAAAAAATTGAAGGACTCATCATTGCCAAACCATTGTATGAAATGTTAAAGGGACTTAGTTAGGAAAAAGAAGATCAAAACTATGAACAATAAAATGGCAAAAATACATACCTATCAACAAATGAATCTAAAAACCAAACTAAGCAAACAGGAACAGAGACAGAATCATGGATAGGGAGAGCACTTTGATGGCTGCCAGGCGGGAGTGGGGTGTGGGGGAAATGGGGAAGAGGGGAGGGGACCGAGAAGCACAGGTAGTTACAGAAGCGCAGGGGGATGTGAAGTGCAGCACAGGAAGCGGAGCGGCCAAGGAACTTACGTGCAGGACGCGTGGACATGGACAATGGGGTGGGGACTGCTAAGTGGAAGGGAGCAAAGCGGGGAAAATCAGGACCACCACAATAGCACAATTGATAAAATATAATAAAACAAAGACTGAAGGTATCACCTGGGACACCCAACAGGACACAACACCCTAAAAACCACACGCAAGGCGGTCCTCTGTATGTTCAGGGCCAGATCCGCTTAGAAGTGCAGTTCGAACAGAGGGGCGGGCAGGCAAACAAACAAACAAACAAACAGACAAACAATGCATGTGACTATGTTTTACTTCTGGACCATTCATCTTTTCGTCCCCCATTTTTTTATCCTTCCAACGTCTGGCTCCCTAGGTCCAGGACACGGGGTAACCTAGGGAACGGGTCTGCCCTTCCTTCCTGTTCTCCCCAGAACACCTTTCATGGAACCAGAGACCTTACTCCGACGTGCACTGCATTCCCCTAAGCTGTCTCCACGCAGGCTTCAGTGTGCTCAGACAGGCACAGTCCGCGCGGTGCCCCCACACCCTAACCTCCCCTGAAGGGCGGAGAGAGTATGCAGCATGCGGCCACAGGCGCAAATTCAGTTTCCACAGCTCCAGTGGCTCACCCTGCAAGTCACCGTGATCGCTTTAATTCAGGAGCAATCCTCTCTCTGGGAACAGGGTCTACGACGGGGCCTGTCTTCGGGCTCTGAGTCAAAACCAATAAACATGTTCCTTTTGGGTTTTTTTGCTCACAGTTTTTTCTAAATCCAGTATCAGGCTGAAAGGTAATTACGTTGAGTAAGAAACGGTGGGTACAGTTCTTGAGGGAGATGATCTGTCAGACTAAGAATAGGAAGGCACAAAGGCTGGAGCGTGAAGGCAATGTTCCTTTGCCAGTGATCGTGTCGGCTGCATCGAGTGTCTTTGTTCTCCAGAGCTTCGTGTACTCCTCTCGTACTTGCCCGGCTCCTGCTCCCTCTCAAAAGGATGGGAGGATGGAAGAGGGCAACGACCCGCCTACAATCACCCCATGGGCTGGCTGGCTGGCTGGAGCACGAGGAAGCCCTGTAGCCCACACCCGCACACACAGGGTGAGGGAGGTCTGAGCCCCAGGGAATTCACTCTCCCTCCAACTGAACGATTAGCTCCTAGAAAGAAACCCGATTTTTTTACACATTTGGGTGCACCCCTGCACCTAACACAATGCCTTGCAAACGAGACAGAATCATCACTCAGGAGTGAAAATCATTTCACTTTTCTACTTAAAAATACTTTGCAGGGAGTCCTGTAATCTTGACGGTGACTCCAAGCTCCAGGGGCACCGGCATGCAGTCCCCAAAGCACTGTCCTCTCTCCTCCTGGCTCTAATTCTCTGAGGAACAGAGCAAGCCTCCCGGTCCGGGTGCGGCTCTCCCTTGCGGTCCCCTCGTGTCCTGCGCTTCCTGTGCTCCTGCACCACACAGCCCAGCTATCAGTAATCACAGAGTTGGATTGTTGAGGAGAGGGCGTGCTATCCCTAGTTCTTTTTTTTAAACTTTCTATTTATTTATTTTTAGAGAGAGTGGAAGGGAAGGAGAGAGAGAAACATTAATGTATGAGAGATATATCTATTGGTTACCTTTCACACACCCCCTACTGGGGACCTGGCCTGCAACCCAGGCATGTGCCCTGACTAGGAATCGAACCAGCGACCCTTTGGTTCACAGGGTGGCACTCAATCCACTGAGCCACACCAGCCAGGGCTCCCTAGTTCTTGGCACACGGTATACTCAGTGAAAGTTTACTGAATGAATGAATGAATGCACTACAAATGTTTGCTTGCTAACTGGTCATGTAATGCGTCCTGGGAAGGCGAGGGGGGGGGAGTTAAGAACGTGTGGACACTTAAGGTCAGAGCTACTTTGGAGAGGCAGAAGAGAACAAAAGTATAAATAACCGCTATTTCAAGAGAGAAGGAAAAGAAAACGAGTGTTGTTTTAGAGACTACTACAGAAAACAGGCCTGAAACGGAGGAGCAGCAGATGCATAAATATCTAAATGGGGGATTTATCTCACAAACAAAATCAAATACCACGGGGGCCAGCCCATCCCTGCTCTCAGTAAGTGTTCTCTTCCCACTGCCCCGTGCTGTTCCGTGCCGAGCTGGTCTGTGAAAACTAGATGTTCCTAGACTCAGACACCCATGCAGATGAGGGCAAAAGGGTTTCCAAAGAGAAAATCCTATACTGGATCCTACCTCAGTTCAACAGCCCTATTTTCTCATTTGAACCGCAGAGTACAAGAAGTGGCTTTTTCCGCTGAGAAAAGAACTCTTAACAAAAGGAGTCATCGACACGTATGGTGTCATGCAGCTACGGCCGGGACAGGCTGTGGCAAGGACAGAACGGCTGAATGTAATTCTGCAAACAGCGACACCTGAGACCGAGTTCAGCCCATTCCGTCTGCAGGCAGCACCGAGACGTGCTGGTAACAGGACTCCTGACTCGCTCGGAACGGGCGCAGGAACAGTCAGGAGCCTCGGAGCCTCCGCTGCTGCGCTTACCCTGCTGGTCTCCGTAGGGAGCTTCTTTCTGCCGGGACCTTGGCTGGCCGTCCTCATCCTGGCCCTGAGGTGGGGGGGGAAAGCCCAGGAATGGTTACTGGCAGAAACAACATCGCCACATTCAAGCAAACGTGGCTCCAATGAATATTTCAGCAGGTTGGCTATTTTTATACCGCTGCTGGCCTGCAGACTAAATTGTGTGGCCAAATTCCCTTTGGGTGCTGCTTTAATTCACAGCAGAATCCTAATTTGAGACATTGAGGGATCTGGTGCTTGAGAAAAGGGAAAGGGACTGACAGCAGGTATCAGATTTTGAAATACCTGACGCTGCATACAAACTCAGAAAAAGGGAAGGCGTGAGGCCTCATCTCCACGGAAAATTCAGTGAAGTGGAACCGGGAAAAGCTTCGCGCGTCTCCAAGCATCCTCAGGTTCCGCCCGGCCGGGAAAGGCGTCTCCTAGCCTCTCGGGGCCTCGTGCACGAGGAGGGTGCTGCACTCGGCTTCCTCACGGTCCTCCTGCACGGCTTGGGCCCACACAGTCCCGGGGGAAAGCAGCTGCTCTCTGTGAGCCTGGGCTGACAGCACTTTGGGCCGCGGAGCAAACCACACCTGGGATTACTCCAGACGCCCGCTCTGGGTGCTGAACTGTCTGACCGACTCGCTCCGTCCCCGCCGGAGAATCAGAAGAAGGAAATAAGCAGCCTCCTCAACAGCAACTCCAACACGTTAGGGATGTGCTCGGTGTTCCACTTAACAGCGCGGCACCTCACCCAGTAATGGTTACACGCCCCCTCGCAGACATTTGTATTTCAGATGGGACCATCTTTTAACGCAGAGCTCTGAAAGCTTACTGCTCACCAGGCAAAGGAGGATTACATCTTATTTGTTCTTACTCCCTTGAGGGTTTCCCTGTGTCCTTACATATCCTGGAACTTTTTAAATCTTGTGTCTTCTGTGTTTTTCTGGTAGTACAACCATAGTAAGTACTCGCCGAATATATCTTGGGCATACTTGTATAGATCTGATTGCATTTCTCCCTCAGCCTTCATTTTAATAAACAGAAGAATCCTGTTTCGCCGAGGAAGGTACTGTTCAAATTACACTGCAAACACCAAATTTGTGTCCACCCACCGGAATAGCCAGGTGCCGATGGAACCCTGAGAAAGTGACCTGCTCAGGGACAAGACCAACCAGCAGCAACAGCTGGCAAAGCGGAACTGGAATGTAGGGCTTGGACTTGCTCCCGACACCACCCACCTGTCCGGCCCGGGCCTGCTGGGGGGGCTGGGCACTTCCGTGCGTTTTCGTTTCTTCCTCGCGGCTCCTGCTGCCTCCCTCTCGGTCAGGACCTTCGGGGAGGAACCAGATGCTGTGACTCCTCGTTTCCAGAGGTGCTCACAGTCCAGGGGGGCACCGTGAACGCCCCACCGTTAAGTTGCCAACTTTGCCAGCTTTGCAAGGAGGGCAGACATTCTGTTAGAGACCGTCCTACTCTAGCCAAGGGGAAGGAGAGGGTTTCGTGCACACAGGTCTGACTGGGCCTGGGCGGCAACAAGGGACGCAGTTAAAGGGAGAGACTAGAGCGGGATTTTTTTACGACATGAGGCCACACAGGCGACTTTCACATTATGTACAAAAGGCAACTTACCAACCCAAGAGCACTGTCGTTCATTGGTTTTCCTGCAACAGGAAATTTAAATGTCAAAACGGATCCAGATGGATTTCTGGCTACCATTTTACTTCCCCAAACTGTCCCGCACAAAACCCCCTTGTGTACGCCCTTCTCCCCTCCACCTGGTGCCGCTTACTCTAGAAATACAGTCTTCAAAAATCTACTCCTCCCCTATTTTAAAACTATGATCACCTGCAAGCTGAAACCCCCGAGTCTGCTTCACACCATATTCTAACAATATGCCACTTATTTGGGGGGGGGGTCCCTACTATGAAACGGAAGGTGGAACTTCAGGCGTCAGTGGCAAATTAACCGGGGAGATACTCTTCGGCAAGGCCTTCCCACCCTTCCCCAAATCAAACTGGCAGGCGTCTGCTTGTCCCTCTATGAGTAAATTGTGACGGCCCTTAGAGGATAAAAATTGGGAGATATCACATCAGGACATTTGGTGGGAGTCACGGAATCCTCTAAAATGGAAGGAAGTATCTTTTTTTCTTTTTTTTTTAAGATTTTATTTATTTTTAGAGAGGGGAGAGAGAGAGAGAGAGAGAGGGAGAGAGAGGGAAACATTAATGTGCGATTGCTGGGGGCCGTGGCCTGCAACCTAGGCATGTGCCCTGACTGGGAATTGAACCTGCGATGCCTGGTTTGCAGCCTGAGCTCAATCCGCTGAGCTATGCCAGCCAGGGCAGAAGTATTTCTATAATAGGTCTCTTCCACTGAGTGGTCATTCTGTCAGACTTTGTACTTACGTTCCGTCTTCCAGTATTTATATAGTGAATGGTTTTAACAACTCAAAGAGATAGAGAGATAGGTGGTATTCTTCTTCTTCACCATTTCACAAGGCAGGCACAGAAAGATCAAGAAATTTACCTGAGGGCACACGGACTAAGTGACAAAGCCACCAGGACTTGGACCAGGCAGTCTGGCGTGGAGCACGGACCCCCACCCGGGGTGGCAGCAGAGCCCAGTCGGGCCGGCCGCTCGCCGCACTCAGCCGGCACCGCCAGCTGACCCCCGGAGCCGCCACCTTCCCCTTTGCTCTTCTCTGCCACCCACACTTGCAGCGTTCCACTTACCAGGTGACAGGTTTTCATGAAACCATTTCATCTCCACATATAGAGTCAAAACAAATGGATAGGGGACCAAGGCAATTTCCCCATGTTTGAATTTCAGGTGGGACACTCTTTCCCATCTGCTTTTATCTGGAAAATGGTGCTAAGGAGTGAGGGAAGACGTCAGCACAAATACCTGGGCACTATTTTAGGGATAAGACTCTCTCTCCTCCCCCTGACCTGCCCTCCACACCGCCTATATAGGTCGGGTGCTCCTGTTCAAATGAACACTTTGTGCTGTAGCTCACGCCCATCCAGAAACGAAAGGATACAGGGAAACACGATGAAGTGTTTTGTAGTAAATGGCTGCAGGTTGTCCAGGTTTCCCAAGACCACACGAATCGAGTCCTGAAAAAAACAACGGGAATGACTTTGGTCTTCTCTAGCCTTAGCGGACCTTTCGTTTACATTTGTCGTGGCTCTTCACACCCCCCACGTCCTGTTAAAGCCGAACCACTCGCTGTTCCCCGAATGTGCCTTCCTTCTGCATCTCCATTTCTATGCTCTTGCGTAGTCTGTTCCCTTGGCCTGAAGTGCCCTTTCCACTCACCAGCCTATGGCCAAGTCCTACCTACCTTTAAGGTACAGTTCAAAGCCATCTCCAGGAAATTTTCCCTGGTTTTCCAGTTGCGATTAACTGTTAGTCTCAAACTGCACAGTAATTAGCTCTGGGCCTTTACCACATTCTACATACACGTTTTCTTTTCCTGACTGAGAAATCTCCTTGAGGTAGACTTTACAAGGTCTGTCAAGAAAAAGTCCAGCCCTTGTTAATGTAACCAGAATGGTTAGCATGACATTGATGTAACCCGGCAGCCAAGGAGAGTGGACTGGAATGCGCACGCATGAACAATGAGGACTTCACTGTACTGGTCAGTGGGGGCGGTAGATGCCATTGAGTGAGTGTGTGTACTGTGAGGCTGTTGCATTCAAAATGCCTGAGTAGAGCAACAAATCTGCACCAAACTTTGTGTTCCGTTTGAACATTCCTCCCTGAAACTGTTCAGATGATTCAGAAGGCCGAAGCTATAGGCAACTGGTGACTGACAGCTTTGTTAGGACAATGTACCTGCTCATGCATCACGTCTCGTGCAGAATTTTTTTGTAAAACATCAAATCATCCGGGTGACTCAATCCCCCTACAGCCCAGACTTGGTGCCCTGTGACTTCTGGTTTTTCCCCAAAACTAAAATCACCTTTGAATAGGAAGAGATTTCAGACCATCGAGATTCAGGACAATACAATGGGGCACCTAACCATGATTGGGAGAACTGTGTGAGGTCCCAAGGTGTCTACTTTGAAGGGGCCTGAGGCATCATTGTCCTATGTATGATGTTTCTTTTATCTTGCAACTTCTTCAACAAATGTCTTTTTTTCTATTACATGGCTGGATCCCTTCTGGAGAGACCTGGCACACTGATGTATTTTAGTGTCCCTTCTGTGGCATCTAGCATTGTGGGTGACGCATGACAGGTCTCCAGTAAACATATACTGAATGAACAGTGCTGGTGTTCACTAAGTTCTTTTGCCTTTGCTTAAGTCAAACCTTTTCTTCTACTCTTTAAAAATCTTAACGGATTAATCTCTAATTAACCTGTGCTTGCTAGTATACACTAATCACACAATTTGGTATCACAGAAAGACTATTAGATTTCTACGGGGAAAAAATCTGAATTTCAGTCCTAGCTTTGTCATGTCATCGAAGCCTCACTTCCCTCACCTCTGGGCTCACAGAAGGTAGAAACTGTGTCTTGCTCATCTCTGTATTCTCTGTACTAAGCATAGTATCTAGCTTACTTGTGTATTTATTGAGTAATCACAATGGCACGTGTTACTGTTTTTGATACGTACTGACTCTCATAAAACCCTATGAGAGAGACACTTGTATTACCCTCATTCTACAGATGAGGAAACTGAGGCAAAGAGAGATGGAATGACTTTTTCAAGGTTTCATAGTTAGCAATGGTACAGCCAAGATGTGAACCCAGGCTTGTCTTAACAATTAAGGTATCGTGCCTATCAACACATGTTTTCTAAATGACTGAGAATAACAATTCCTGCCTCAAAACCAATGAAAGCAAGAGAACATATAAAAAGCACTCTGAGAACATGGATATGGTTATATACATATATGAATGCCGTCTGGCTGGCAATCAGTGAGCTACTATGTGGCAGGCACTGCACACATCTATTTCCAGTCCTCACCGCAGCCCCGACAACGGGCTGTGTTTACGGAGCTCACTGACAGGTGAGCAAACAGGCTCAGAGAAGGTGGGTCACCTGTCCGAAGTCCCTCTGTGAAGGCAGAACTGGGATCCACATCCAGGTGTGACTGGTTCTAAAGTCTGTGCCGTCTCCACTTTACTCGGCTACCTTGAGCTCCTTTCTGCCCAAATTAGCTGGAGCAAAGTGAATTAATTCTGCTCCACTCACAATTCAAATAAGCAAAAACCTGCCACGGTCCTGTATCATTATTTACAGTGATGTTTCTGAGGTCCTGCAAGATCCTAACGGACGTTTCAATGTTTAGCCAAAGGTATCTTCAGGGCTATGACTCAGATTTTTGGTTTTCACAGTTTTGTGTATTTAATTATATTTGAATTCTTGGAAATGTGGCAGCATATGTCTTTTTTTTTTTTTTAGATTTATTTTTAGAGGGAGAGAAACATCATTGTGTGGTTGCCTCTCGCACATTCCTACTGGGTACTTGGCCTGAAACCCAGGCATGTACCCTGACTGAGAATCGAACCAACGACCCTCTGGTTCGCAGGCCGATGCTCAGTCCACTGAGCCACACCAGCCAGGGAAGCATACGTCTTAATAAACCACAATAATCATAAGTCACTGAGTTGAAGTCCTAAGAGATTAAACAACTTTAAAACTCTCATTTTAGCCCTGGCTGGTGTGGCTCAGTGGACTGAGTGAACTGGAATGTTACAGGTTTGATTCCTGGTTAAGACACATGATTGGGTTTTGGGCCAGGTTCCCATTTGGGGGTATCTGACAGGCACCCAATCAATATTTCTCCCTCCCTTCCCCCTCTCTGAAAATAAATAAATAAATAAAATCTTTAAAACTCTCATTTTACTAATGAGGCAATCAAGACCCAGAGAGATAAATGACTTGCTGAGGATCACACCACTAATTAGAGGCTCAGGCCCTTGCCCAGCGCTTTTACCAATTTTCAAAAATGTCCACCTGTTCGGTCTTCCTCCTGTGTGAGAACCTCAAGCTAGAGGAGCTGGGTAGAAAAGGAATGAAAATAAAGTGGGAATAAAGCAATGGCAACTGTTTCCAATTAAGATGAAGACACGGCAGCCTTGTCTGTCTATTTACAATCCAGTTTCCTGAACGTCAAGCACAGGCGGTGGTTGGGATGCTGAGGTTTCCCAGAGCCCTGGAAGGCGGTACCCCGCCCAGGCCTCCGGAAGCTCCCTCTCTGCCAGCTGCCAGGGAGAGCTGCCCATGGCTGGGAACGCTGGTAGAAACAAAATAACTCTCAGCCTCAAAGGTGCTGACACTTCAACTAGGAAAACTGAAAAAGGATACAGGCTTTAATGTCCCTGGAAAAACAGTCAAGTTTCTTTGCAGAGGTAATGTGGCAGGGAGAAGCCAAGCAATCGAGTGGAGTTGTGACTTGGTTGGTGAGAAATAATTAAAATCTGAATACAGACGCATCCTCAGAAGAACAACTTTCCCAGAAGTTGTCGGCTTCTTTCCCTACCTCCAGCTCCTGGACGATGGCTTCCTTATTCTCTACATCTTCCCTTCTAGAAGGTAAATAAACAAGAGATAAGTAAGCCAAGAAGGAAAGCTCTGGAGACAGTAGAGCAAAAATGACACTTCCACTGAGCTCAAGAAACATGACTAAATAACAAGCATGTGTGCTGACCCAGGGCTCACGGGAGGAAGGGATCACCTAGGTGGTGTGGTCTGAAAATTGGCACGAGGCGATACACCGAAATACCTTCTCCGCTAACTTGCCGAGACCTGAAATTCCCACTGTGAATGTTACTAATTTGTTAGACCGTTTGTAATCAAGTGTAGTCTGATGACCCCTACGGGTCCTCAAGACCCTTTCAAGGGGCCTCCAAGGGCAAACATTGTTTTCAGAACACTCAGGTGTTATTTGCCTTTTTCACTGGGTTAACATTTGTAATCATTAATGCAAAAGCAACGGTGAGCAGAACTGCTGGTATCTCCGCATAAATCCAGCCCACTGCACTGAACTGTGCTAGCAGTTACAGTCACCTTTACTGCCACACAGGAAAAAAAAAAAATCCAGCTTCATTTAATACCCTTGAGGAAGCAGTAAAAATGTAGTAATTGTATAAAATCCCAACCCTTGAATACATGTCTTTTTAATACGTTATAGGCTAAAACGGCAAGCATGCAGAAAGCACTTCTGTGCCCACAGACACAGCAGCGCCGTCTGGAGGGAGAGCACGCGTGCGATCGGGCTGCAGACTGAGCTACCTGCTCCTTTCACGGACGGCGATCCACCTGGACGGTCAGCTGACGCACAAACTACGGCTGTTATTAGACTTGGTAATGTGACATTTTCTCAAAAATGAACAGCGAGCTTACCAACTCAGGGATTTACTGTCAAATAACAACTGATAATGTTTGTTGTCAGTGATACATTTTTGAATTTCAAGCAAAAATTTGCGCTTTGGAAAACTTCTGTCCACCCCTAGGAGATTGTCAGGTTTCTGATGAGACTGGTAGTGATATTAACAAATATGATTTTTTTAATGTTGTACAGGCACATCTCGTTTATTGTACTTTGCTTTACTGTGCTTCACAGTTATTGCATTTTTTACAAATTCCAGGCAGAACTCTACCAGCAAAATATTACGGCTTGCTTTATTGTCGTGGTCTGGAACTGAACCCACAGTATCTCCAAGGTATTCCTGCACAATGAAATGTGTTGACATTTGGGTGATCTGCATAAATCAGCGAACCAATGTTTTCCAAAGGACCAATGAAATGCATATGTCACAAAACCGTTCTAGGTAAAACATTCATTCGAAGAACAAGAGAGACGAATAAATTTTAATGTAGCAGAGTTCAAAAAGTTCACTGATATAATTTCAGATTCCACATTGCAATTAACCTTTAACAGAAATTACCACAGTAGCCTTGACTGGGTGGCTCAGTTGGTTAGAGCACTGTCCAGATACACCAGGGTTGTGAGTTCAATCCCTGGACACGGCACCTACAAGAAGCAACCAATGAATGCATGAATAAGTGAACAATAAATCTCTCTCTCTCTTCCTTCCTCTTTCTCTAAAATCAATAAAAAACATTTTATGACATACTATTTTTACATTAATAAGTATGATATTTTAATTTTTCTGTTTTTTTTATGATAAATATTGACAGGAATAACCCATATAATCAAAACCTTTGGGATACTCAATAATTTTAAGAGGGCAAGAGTCCTGAGATAAAAAATTTTAAGAAGCACTTCCCCAAAGTCATGTCATCACTCACTGGGAAACTTACACAAATAATACATCATACATGGAAAATAAAGTAGCTCGGAAAGACACCTACGAGGTACTACTTCAGCCAGTCTCCCGGACTGGGCGAAGGCAGAGGAAGGCTGGCCGGGGGGGAACGTGCTAACCTGTTTGCAGAGGCTGCCCCCACCCCCAGCTGTAAATTCACCTGAAGCTGTTGCCATATCTGATGTTTCATTTGAATTTTCTTTTATTTTTTTAATAGTTTATTTGTATTGTATTTTTCCCACTACCGTTTATCCCCCCTTCACCTCCACCCACCCCCTCCCCTGCCCCACAATCGCCACACTGCTGTCTGTGTCCGTGGCTTACTTTTCTTTTTCGCTCGATCCCTCCACTCCCCAACCCCCTTTAAATTTACCTGACTCTGTTGCCGTATCTGATTTTGAATTTATACACATTAGATCCTGAATGAAGAAACCTTGTCTCTGGAAACGGGTAGGTGAAGGGTTTTAAACTCATTGCTTCCGAACGATAGCCTGTAAAAGAAATAGCACAGAAATATTTAAAAAACCGAAGATGGCCCCTTACATATGGAAAAGTGAGCCTGCCCAACCTGTAGCACTGTTTATGAGTAAAATGTCCAACGCTCAGCACCACTGTTCATGTCCCAGGCTTAGTTCTGATACTAATCAGAACTAAGGACCATTCTGCTGCCTGCGTGCAGAGGATACCTGGTGTTCTGGGGCAATCTCTTCACTTGAAATCGAAAGTCCTGAGCAAGCTTGGTTTATCTTGGAAGCTTGTGCAAACTACCTCTCCTCCACGAGAATAATACTGACATCTGATGACTCACAGGGTTTGTCTTTGTTAGCACTAAATATCTATCTCCAGCCCCGGCCGGGTGGCTTAGTTAGTCGGAGCATCATCCCGTGCACCAAAACAGTTGCTGCTTCACTTCCCAGTCAGGGCACACAGGGGAGGCAACCAACTGATGTTTCTCTCTCACATGGATGTCTCTCTCTCCCCTCCATCCTTTCTCTCTAAAATCAATAAACGTCTTCAATACCTATCCCCAAATATCTCTTGAATCTATCCTCTGCCCTTGTCCTCACTTTCCCTGTAATGCAGGCCAGTGCGAACAGGGCTCAGGTCACGTAATGAGACAACCCAAAGGCCGCACCAGCGAGCGGCACAATGGAGAAGACCGCTGCTATTCATTTCACACGCAGTTGAGGGAGCAGCCCCACTCCCTGCCGCAGCCAGTGCAGCAGATAAGGACGTACGCCGGTGTTTCTCAGCGCCGCTGAGGGGGGCCTCGCCTTCCCGACCTCCCAGTCCCTCTTCCTCTTCATCTCCTGTGAGACGAGGGTGCCCACTACCCTCCTGGCACTTACTAGTGTTACTTCTCCTACTCCAGAAGCTCTGCCCACCGAAGGCCCCCAGTGTGGGAAACTGAGGAAAGGAAAGGGGAGAGGTCAAAAAGGACAGCATACCCCTTCTTCTTGGAGAGGGCAGCTGGAACGTGCTGAGAGCTAGGAATCAGGCGCACTGCGTTTTTCTAAGTTATTAGGATTCTCCGGTGCCTCTTTTTTCTTTGTAAAGTAGAAGTAATAAACCCTGCACTTTCTGTCTCTTCGTATAGAAGTTTAAATGCTAAACACTGAGAGTAAGCAGTCCACAGCTGTCGAGCATCAGAGCTACCGTTACACAGTGCAAGGCACCGAGTCCAGAGGGAAGCTGAGACGAGGCAGGAACGAAGTGGGAACGATTCAGGTTTATATCTCAGCTCCCGTGTCTCTACTTAGTTCCTCTGGGCCTTGGTTTTCTTATTTATACAGTAATAATGTTTTCGTGCCCTCTTATCTCAGTCTTCACAATAAGCCTACGAGACAAGTGGTCTAACTTTGACAGACGAGGAAACTGACACTGAGAGTGGAGGGGCCTCCACGGCTCTGAATGCTGGAAACGGGACTGGAACCGAGACCAGCGTAAACCCAGACCTGATGCTCTCAACCACCTCCCCACTCTGCTTCCTGGGGTTATTAGAAAGGAGAAAAAATTAATATAACATCATTTTTAAGTACTAAATATTATACACACATAAAGGACTATTTTCATTATTTGTTACTCCCTATTACCGATACCGTTTCTACTCAGCAGGGAAAACTCGTGTATGTTCGAGCCAGAAGATCTATGTGGCCAGAGAATGGAATTTCCCACAATTTCCAAAGTTTAAGCCTGGGGCTGCCAGGAAAGAGATATCCCAGTGTCTGATCTTGCTGCTGACCGGAGGTTGGAGCCAGAGCCCAGGGGATTATTTAGACTAGAATTGCAGTCAAAAGTGAAAAGCACTAGTTGGTGCCAACTGCAGAGTTACCAAAGGGGAAATAGTGTTCATATCCTGAGAAAATTCTCGCTGCTTCTCCGTGCCAAGGCATAGCAGGAACGCAGGCTACATTTGCTGGTGGTTTCTGGTCCTAGGTGAGTTTTCTAAGCAGGCAGGGAGTCCACCTAGTGAGATTTAGGCTGATGCCACAAAAATGTAGATCTCAGTTACAGAAAGGATTCTTAAAAAATGCAGTCATTTCTGTCTACGGGCTGAGGGCTGAGGGCATCAGAGCAGAGGAAATGAAGGACATTTGCTGGAAATGAGAACCCAGAGAGGAAGCTTCATGCGCTGAGCTATAGCTGGCTGTCTGAAAGAAGGAAAAACAGCTCTTTGAGCTGGGGCCTGTTCCTGCTAATTGCTGGCGGCAGAGACAAACACCGCACATGAATAACCTTGTCTGGAAGTAAAGATTAGACAGAATAACCCAAAACAACCACACAGCAGTAGTGGTGGCTCCAAGATTCCACAAGGTTATTGTCCAACATGAGTACTGCGGTCACGGCAACACTATGTCCCTGTGACTATTATTAAGTTGATGAGATCTTGTAGATGAAGAGACAGGATCTCAACCCATTTCTAAGTGACCATAAAACCTGACAGCTTTAAAACAAAAGAAGAAAAGTTATAGGCAAAATGGGACAGACGTAACAGTGGGAAAGACCTAAGATATGGAATTGGAGGACCAAGGCTCGGGTCCTAGCTCTGCCGCTTATTAGTCAGTAAACCCTGGACAGTTCAGCCTCTTCACTGGTCAGTTTCTACCTCTACAGATGGGGACCCCACCTACTCCCGGAACTGTTGCAGGCACTGAACGAGATCCTGCTATAAAATAGTACTTCATACACTCTAAAGCAGGGGTCCCCAACCCCCATGCTGGTCCGGCCCGGCAGGAACCAGGCCGCACAGCAGGAGGTGAGCTTGAATGTAATGCGCTTGAATCATCCCGAAACCATCCTCCCACCCCTCACCCCTGTCCGATCCCTGGAAAAATCGTCTTCCACCAAACCAGTCCCTGGTGCCAGAAGGTTGGGGATCACTGCTCTAGAGTATGATACACACATTAGCTGTTTCGACAGATTTGAAGTTTCTCTATGAATGCTTCACTAGAAAAGCAAATTCAAGAGAGGAAAACTGATTTGCTTTAATCTCACTGTAAAATCTGACAAGCCCCAATCAAGAATGTTTCCTCGAAAATCCCCAATAATTAGACCTAAAAGACACATTAGCACTGATGTTAGAAAAACCTAGCTTTTTCGAGGTCTGGGCATTTGTCTCACATACAGGAAAACCGGGGTCAGTGCACGGAACCCGAACAGGGCTGCACGCCGCATGAGGAGGATGAGCCCGTCCACTGAGCAGGAAGGAGACCATCACAAGGAAGCACCATCGCTCAACTTTTCTGGGGTTATCTGATGAGAAAATCTTCCAGTGTTAAGGGACAAAAGAGCTTCCATAAATACTTGTTCAAAAATACATTTGCTCTGTGACCACTGGTGAATGTGGGCCACAAAACAGCCGGAAGTCTGTATTTCCAACCAGAGGTCTATGGCTGCCTGTACGGTACTGCCCTGTTGCAGCGGGACAAGAGGGGAGTGCGTCACCACAGAAGTAACGGTCACAAAGTCACGTGACTCTGCACAGAACCAGGACTAGCCCCCCAGAACTGCTGACTCCCTTGGCCCACGCATTTTCAGCTACAACACATTAGTCGGCCAGTCGTTTCATTAAACTATAACAGAACTCAAAAAGTCGCTCTCGTAACTCTGGATGATTCAAGGCAAACTGAATCTGGGTAGAGATCAAGCCAAAATCTAGTATTTTTTAACTGAAAGGTTTTCAGAACGATATCTTATAGTATAAACGGTAACAGCCACATTTGTTTGTCTTCAAGCTCTCCTTTCATTTTGTTTTTGAGATTCTTGGTTTGTTTTTCCTTTTCTTTTTCAAGTTCTATTTTCAAAAGGAACTATTTTGGGTTTCCCTGATCACCTTACAGGGTGATTAGAACGGTTAATGAAATAATGCATGTATAATTGCTTACTGTATTGCTCTACGCATAGGTCACTCAATAAAGAACAGCCTTTTAAAAAACAAAGTGTTACAATATGGGACAGGAAGGGACTGACCTAAGGCTTCCCAGGACACCTCCCTGCTTACTGATGTCATCCGCTTTCTCTAGGTTTCTTCCTATGCGTTTTGGTAAGGCACACTCTTTAAAATGCTCCTGGCATTTGTTCAGGAATAGATTTGCCCTTGGAACTGTGTCAGGTTCTGTTTTGTCCGGGAGAAAGGAGTAACTAACCTCCGAACAGAGAGGCAGGAAGGTGCCCTGAAGGAAAATCTAAAGGCCTTAGTAGACCGCTCTGCAGACTCAGATAAATGTCTAAGTCGCCCTCTAAGTTATTCTCTGCACCTAAGTGCCTCTTCCACTCCCATCTTAACCGTCATGAAAGCTAACGGAAAAACCACCTTTGGTAAACAGGTCCAGGACTGTGTTGCTTATTATGGAAAAGCAACAGAATAGTATTTCATCTCCCCACCTGGTCCAACAGTATTGTGGCCGGGAAACAAAACACTTGGTACTTTGAAAGACCATCAAACCGTAGGGATATGACTGTGAATAGAACTTAGGAAAATAAAAACAAACCCCTCATATTTATAAAGCACTTTCAGTTTATACAATGCTTTCCCATCTCTATCTCACAAGATCCAAAAAAATTCCGTTCAAGTAGGCAAGGCAAATTCAGCCACCTTACACTCCATGCTAACTGCTCTACTCTTTACCTGATTTGATTCTCTCAAAATGGTGTTCATTCAACCAAATATTTGCATGTCTACTATGTTCCAGAAACTAAGTCTGGAATAAAGTGGGGAAGAATAAAAACTTGGTCCCTGCCTACAAAAATTTACAGATGATTTTAACTGTAACGACTCAAACCAAAGAAAAGGATAGGGTGGTGTGGGACATAACCTAACCTGGAGTACCCTAACCCAGGGTGGAAGTGGGGGGGAGCCCACTCTGAGTGACTCACCATCTGAAGGGTGAGTATGAGTTAGGCATGCGCAAATTAAGAGTAGGTGTGGGGGCTGCGGTGGGCACAGGAAAGAGCAGATGCAGGGGTCCTCGGCTGGGAGCAGCATGGCATT